CCACGGGCAGAGCGGGGGATCCGGCCCGAGGCCTCCCGGAGCCCCCTGTGCGGGCGGCCGCTCAGCGGGCCGGGCCGCGCGGGGCCGCGGGAGGGCACGGGGCAGCGAGCGCTCCCGTCCCGGCGCCGCTGTGAGGCAACGCCGCACGAAAGCGGTGGACGCAAACAAATGAATCGTAGCTTCAGGCGGGAGTAATATCAGGTGCATCTCTACACCCCGCGGGCTCAACTCCTACACTTCTTAAGTCCCTCCCCCTGCAACAGCCTCCTGCAGTTTCACTTCGCCAGCCGGCAGAGAACAGGTACTTCTCTCGCAGCAGTGACAGCCACGGCTCAGCGCCGCCGCTCGCCTCGGAGCCTCCACACACCTATGTATCTGGTAAGGGCCTTTTGGGGTTGTTTTTGAGGGTTTTGCTATTTTTAAGAAGGAAACGTGCTCGCGTTACCACAGGAGGAGGCAGGTGGAGGCAGTGGCTCTGCAGCCGCCCGTGGAGCCCCGGCTGCTCTGAGCAGGTGCACGCGGGGCTCCGCCGCGCGCTGCGGCCGACGCTTTCCACGGGAGATGAGGCTTTTCTTTAAGTCTGTGAGAGGGGAAAAAAACAAATTCTTACAACTTTTTACAGTAATTAGTCCTGTTGGTGAAAAGCACTTAAGTATCTCTTGTCGTTCAGCAATTTAAGGCATTAGATCGTAATAGGACAAAAGCTCCCATACATGAGATGTTGCTTAATGCTGCTGTGTTTTCTCTGCCAACTATTCTATAAAGAATAGTATCAGCTTAATGTAAAAGCTTGTATGAAAATAAGGCATCCTGCTTCAGTTTTGATTTATTAGTTTTCCAGTTCCGGGGAAAACAGTATAGAAAATTGAACTTGTTTTGATTCTTCCTCCCTCCAGTCCATCCAACCACAATCCAATTTGGAGTTTTCCAGCCAATATTTCCAGGGATCTTCTCTTCTTCCTCGCTGCACCCCTTGGGCGGTGGCGCAGCCCCTGCTCGCGCGCTCTGCTCCTCCTGGCGCGCGGCACCGTCGCCACCCCGCGCCCCGCTTTCCTCCTTGCTAACAAACCCTTGCATTAAAAACCTATCGCTCAGCTTAAAGGAACTGGAAGTTTAGCAGGGAGTGGTGGTTAATCACGGGAAAATCTCAGCTAGAATTAAACTCACAAATCTTGTTCTTGCAACACACTAGGTAGGTGACAATGGCATGTCCTTGAGTTATGCAACGATGCCACATCACAATATTTTAATTATAGCATGTCCTTCAAAATGTTCCACCCCAGTGAGTCCTCCTGGGCAGAGAGATCAACATCACCAAAAGGCTCCTGCAATAATAACGAAGGGTGCATGACAAACTGTTACGTCGGTTGCTAGAGCGGTGTCCTAAAAAGAAATGTAATTACCGTTCCTGCTCTTAATAAAAGACATTTTGAAATTTCCCCTTTGATCAGCTGGACACCTTAAACAATTTACACTGCTTAAACACACAGAAGCAACTTGCCTACATATGTATATGTGTATATAGGTGTGTGTGCGTGCATGCGCGTGTGTACACACACACTTTTGTTTTTATATACACATACACACAGAGACAACATTAAACTTTCTGGACTTCACATATTCTAAAAGCAAGGAGCTAGCACTAATGTGTGCTTTTAAAAAATGGAACAAAGAAAACTTACAGCTAGCTGAATCTCAAGCTGGAATGAGCTATAGGTTGGTAAACTGGAAGCACAACTGAAGTACCTCAAGCTTAATCAGTATTATCTGAACAATATGTTTTCCATAAAATTATAAATAAAAGAATGCAGTTCAAAACTAGCAAGACAAATTCAGAACAACATAACTTTTAAACAGCTATCTAGAAAACAATTTTCAATTTCTCTTTTTGTTCTTTAATTGCCTGAAAAGTCCTGCTACTGAAATTTTTTCCTCCTTTTTAAAGGATATCTCAACTTATCACATTTATATGTAAGGATAAAGCAAGGCTTATTTGACTTTTTCTTTGCAATATTATATTATAATTTCTTTAGTACAAAATAAACATTGTGCAACTATAGGTAACTGACTTTTCTATGGAGACAGTTTGAGGAGGTTGCATGTATTTTAAGCCATTAGTGTTTGTGCTATATGTGCAAACAGCTTTATGTTTTTAATTAGGAAATATGCATCTCTGCCAGATATTCTGGCGCTTTACTCGGAGATGAGAAGGGAAATTATCCTTCTTGGCTGGGCTGAGAAGTATTTTTCTATCGGCATTTTTAAGCTGTAAGGGAAGAAAAAGAAGGGATTAAATAATAAAAGAGAGCCCCAGAGGGCTCGGCTGGCTGACACTCGCCCAAAGTTTGGTACGGGTAGAGATCCGTCAGGACAACCTGCTCGGGCTCCTTCTCGCAAGCGAGGAGCGCGGCCCCGGGAGCACCGCGGCCCCGGGAGCACCGCTGCGATAGGCTGAGCGCGCCACCAAAACAAACCAAAAGCGAAAAATAGTCATAATAATTGTAATTCTCGCCTGTTACACACATGGCAAGGAAGCTGCCAGTGCTCTAGATTCTAACATTAAAAGTGCAACAAGGCATTTTATCTTATTGAGAAACAGGAATAACTTGAATCAAAGTGAAATAGCAAGTACAAAGTTGGGGAGGGAAACAGGACACACAGGAATTTGCATTATTAAGCAGAGGAAAGCTAGCAGAACAAGAAAATCTAATTAACGTCTCTTTATAATAAAGTGCTGCACCTGAATGCAAATTCAGACTGTTATCGTAAATGGCAAAACTAAGAATGCAGAGGAGTTTTGACAACAATATCTTTTTTCAAGAATAATTAGTACAGGTACTTCCAAGAAGATACAAAGAACAACAGGAACAAACTGACTCGACCAAGTCCCTTACAAACTGTCCATGTTAGTTATACATCATTAGTCAAAAATAAATGCAGCAAATTTACTTAAGGCAAAAAACAAGGACCAGCTCCCTATCTGGAGGTCCCCTCCCACACCTCTAATATTCTTCCTCATTTCTTTTCATGCAAAAGTATTAATCTTACTCTTTCAGAGGAATTCTGGATATCATTTTTAAATATTTTTTATTTACTGAACAGGAATTTTAAACACCAAGGACAATTACTTAACATGTTACTGTATACCTTATGTAATTATTTTTATTTCAATGATATATTATAAGTTTCTGACTCTCATAATAATAAACAAATAGCTTTGATAAAAGGTGAGGAATACAAAGCTACTCCTCTACACGTTGCTTCCAATTGTTTAGGCTGTTACATGTTTAATGATTCATTAATTTTAAGAAAACATCTGATAGTCTTTTCTATTCACAGAGAAGCTTAGCATTTTTCAAGATGTCATCACAATTACTATTTTAACAGAATTAATATTTCTATGACATCAGAAACAATATGCAATATATTTTGCTGGAATTACTGTACCTGGTAAAACAAGCAGCAATTCTGTAGCTTTGCCTTCAGCATTCATAATGTGTTGTGTGTCATTTTCTATTAAGTAAAAATCTCTTAAGAAACGCAAAACATCTCCACTTTAACTAAAAAAAACCTCACAGCATATAAATTAGCAGCAATTCTTTTCATAAACTTAATATTTTAATACTCTCAACTCAAACTTCTATGTAAAAAAGCCTTTTAAAAAGAAATCAAGCTATACGAGTCACTCGTACAATTAGTATTCCTGTAGTTTCGGGTAACACAATAGATACAGTACGTGGTTTTGCAACAGTCATCATTTTGATAATGATGCTTCTAGTTCATGATGAAATCATCGGTTTTTAGATCTCTGCCATAACACATCCTATAAAATCATGAGAACTTGACTCTGAGAGTTTCTCACGCCTTCAGAATCAGCGAACATAATGGGACAAGCCGATACAAGCCCTCCTGACTTATCTCCCGAGCAAATCATTAGGCTGTGTGAAGTATCCACAACCTCAGGTTTTCTGAAGAAAGGCAGATGGATTGTTCCCCTATAAATCAATCGTCGGCAGCCGCTTTTCACCCGAATTAAGGCACTTGCATGTAGGTGCTAACTGCATGCGGCACACGAGGTGCCGCGCAGCAGAACAGCGCTGAATGTGTCTATGAAGTGTTTATCAAATAGAAGATGGTGTTAGTCAGGCATTGCAGGACTCATTTCTCTTAATTGAATTAGGAAGAGGAGGAAAATTGGTGTGGTTTTATCCTTCGAGAGATTGGCCACTTTTGAGGTATCCATTGAGATGAGGCTGTTGGGAAACGCCGGCTGGAGCAGGGGGTTGGTCATTCTCTCCAAGGGCCCAGGCGGCTCCCCTGGTGCAGCCAATGCCCTCCAGCCCGGCTGGGAGCAGGAAGCTCCCTGCCCTCCTTCCCGACCAGCCGGGCAGGCTTGTCCCAGAGCCGGCTGCTGCCAGGACCTGCCTCCTCTCACCTCTCCCACCTCCACTTCTCCCTCTCAACAGCTCCACCTACATTTCTACTTTCATCTTCTCAATGAGCCTTCCCTCCCTTTGCAAAGGCAACTCCTTGATGCCCCATCCGATTTGCAGACAACTGGCACTGCTGCAGATCCCCACTTCTGGGACTGTGTTGAGGTGCTGAAGATGAAGTTAAATGCACGTCTATCTCAAACCATACGTAATACAAGGGGGAATAGAGCTGAAAGATGGTATTAGTGTTTACCTGGTTCCAGTTTTCCAGTACAGCTAATTTTAACCTTTTTGTTGCAGCTGCCGTGCTACCAGTTGCAGCAGTGTTCTCCGGCACCCCTTGCTGCCCTGCGACACCCCAGGAGTTGGCGCCCTCTTTCCACCTGGGAAAAAGGATTCTAGAAACCGGAAAAACTGGAAACTTCCAGAGGCTAAAACTGAGGAACGCTACCCACAAGGAAGTTTTTATAAAGAAGTGTTATATTTAATCATTTAAAGAAGAAAAACAATGAGTCTCCTCAAAGAACGTAAGCCGAAGAAGCCTCACTACATCCCAAGGCCCCCAGGAAAGCCGTTTAAATATAAGTGCTTTCAGTGTCCCTTTACCTGCAATGAGAAATCCCATCTTTTTAACCATATGAAGTATGGTCTCTGCAAAAACTCTATTACTTTAGTATCAGAGCAGGATCGCATTATCAAGTGCCCAAAGACCAGTTCCTTGGAGCCCAAACAGATCAACCAGCTAGAACCTACAGTCAAACCAACATCTTCCAAATCCATCGCAAACGGACTGTCAAATCTTGATTCAAAGCCTCAGTATCCTTTTGCAAAAGAAGATGCCAAGGAAAATGTTGAATTACAAAACCAAGCAACAAACACAGCAATTCAAGGACAGAAACCTGCAATCCCAAAGGAATTAGCTCCAGCCAGTACAACAGAAGCTGCCATCAGCATGCAGCCCCTTTTGGACAGCATTGTAAGGCCCTCAGCTTTTGTTCCTGTAGGAGAACACAGAGATAGTAAAGGCCCAGAAGGTAATGAAGTATCTGAAATGATATCCCTCACTAACAAAAGTTCACCTTTTCATGCTAAATCGGCGTTTCATGCACCCAGTCACCCATGGAAAGCAGGTTCTCCTTTTCTCCCAGAGTTTCCCCACAAAGTTGCTCCTGCAAAAGGTTTTGGTTCCATTTCACCCTATGTGCAGCCGATGCTTCCAGAGTACTCCCCTCACTTCTATGAGCACAGGCTGGCTATCTATGCACCTTATTTGCTTCCTGGTAATTCAGAGTGCGAAACCTCTGCTCTCTCCGTCTATGGCACACAAGATCAAAGACACTTTCTTCCCCATCCTGGGCCACTTCCAAAACCAATAAATCCATCGGCATATGAACACTATCGATTGTTCCAACAATATCACTCCACTCCTCCGATACCATATGGATTTTGTAGGCCAACAGATCCTCCATTTTACAGATTTTCACACGTAGCTGGTATCAACAGAGAGCAGAGTTCTCATCTAATGGAAGAAACTAGCCTGCTGTATCCTGCTTCTTTAAGTCCATCCCAACAATACCCTCTAAACTCACATAAAAAACAAACAGATTATGAAAAAGAAATTACACTGTTGCATGGCAAAAGTCATTCCAAAGATGACCAAAACGAAAGAGAGAACGCAAAAATGAGCCCTCTTGCAGGAAGCGCAGCAACGGGCTCCCCGGGCAGGCCCAGCCCAACCAACTTCACTCAGACGAGCCATGCTTGCGAGGGCTTATTTGACCTCTCCAACAAGGCATCTTCCACCCTGCTTGGCAAGTATGACCAGCCAGAGGAGAATTTCACAGCTTTCAGACCTGTGAGAAAGAGCGCTGACCAACCCGCTCTACTTCCGAGCGCGCACGCGCAGCAGGAGCGAGGAGATTCACCCACCAGGTAACGTAATGACAAATTACTTCACAAATTCTGGTCAAATATACTAAGGAAACATATAGATAACGCACGTGCATTTCACAGAACAGCTCTAAAATATAATTAAGTTTACAGCATTTTGTTCCTATAGGAGAACGCAGAGATAGCAAAGGCCCAGAAGACACATGTAACCCCAGAAGCTATTTTACATGATGTTACTCCTTCTGCTTAAGCATGCTGACTATCTCTAACAATTCAGGACAATACATGCAGCAGAGTGATAATGCATGGTCAAAGGGACTTAGGGGAGAGAGGGCGACATGACGTTATCAGACACTTAGACCAGAATTTTTTTCTTCTTTTTCCGTCTAATTCCTCACAGCCTCCATTTTAAGAGTACCTGATAGTCAATTCTCTTTTCTCCCTATTTCTTTCAGCATTAATGTCACTGACGAAGACTCCTTCGTACCCAGCGAATGCCGTAACAACGAGGGCTCCCTGTCCAACACTGAAGACGACACAGGGGTAGCTCCTCTTAATCTTTCAAAGAAGCCTGACACAAACACGGGACCTGTTCATGAACACACATACAAAAACACTTCCAAAGCAGAAAGCCAGAACTTTCTGGAATTGCAAGACGTGCCTCTGAACCTCTCTGTAAGAGACTCCTGTAACGCAGGAAGCCTCAAGACTGCTGCACTGCACAGTCCAGCTCATGAAAACGGTGCTGCTACTTCTCCAAAACCCCAAAATGAAAATGCTGCAGCAGACACATGCAACCCCAAGAATCCTACTAGTGGTGCCGGTGACAAACCTGCCTTCTCAGCTGCCCGTAACGAAGCCCAAGACTTGAGAATAATTGACAGTTGTGATGAACAGAAGCAAACAGCAGCAGTGGCTCTCTGCCAGCTGGCCGCATACAGCCCCAGCAAAGTCAGGATGGGCAACGATGGGCAGAGTCCTCAGGACTGTAAAGCTTCAGGCACAGAAGCTGCTCTTAATTCTGCAGATACTCAGGATACTCAAAGCAATCAAAAAGTAAAAGGACAAAAAAGGACAAATCAAAAAGAATCCACAAAGTCACAGCAAGGCACTAAACGAGTGCGCCCAAATGACTGTAGCAGAGTCTTCACTTTGAGGAAGAGAACAAGAGTGTCATAATAATTCACTTGCCAATGAGTTCCCAGTCTCTAATCTAGTTACCAACTACAGCAGAAAATTCAACATTCCATCTCTTATTAGATTTGGTCCATGAGAAGATATATTCATCTGCTGTCATGTAAATAGAAAGTGTTCATAATTTTATATTAATATTTTTAAGTAATTGAACTTTCCCTTGTATAAGCTCAGATTTTGATGAGTGAATTTTTGCATTTGTTACTAAAACCAAAGTACACAAGGTGAATCTTTAAGGTTTTTTTGCAATTGTATTATTGTAAAATAACTTTTCCAAGTTCTTTTCTTACAAGATGTTTAAGCTCTAGAAACAACATTGTTCAGTAACATATTGTCATAGTATTTTGCAGGCGTTATTTCATTTAGTAGTTGTTTATTTTTCCTTGAAAAATTGTTTCACTGTGCAGTAGTTTAAATAAGCTTAAAATTAAAACTAGCTATTTAGAATTTACTGTAAAAACTGTTTTGTGTGAGATTGCAATTCACCATTAGAGCAAAACAGTCCAAATTTTGGCACTCAGCAGCAGACACACATTTAGGCAAACTGAACAAAAGCCAGTAAACGTAATTCCTTCTTATATTGGCTAAGGAGAAGATTCAAATTTACACCAAAGTGAGCCTCCCAAACTGACGTAGCACTAGCGCTATCAATCTGCACCAATTAGAAACAACTTTGTGTGCACCTTTACCTGAACAACTATGAAAACAATATTGACAATTTCAGGATCTAAATGCTCTAGGTGCCTAATCCTCTGAAGCTAGACACTGGGTAACCTTGAAACTCCAAACCTAAAAGGATATTTATATAATAATTTATTTCAGCTGGTGAAGGTTTTATTCCAGTACACATGTATCACTAATTATTAGCTTCCATGTACTTTGTTATATGTCCTAGAACTATTTTCTGCTTCTACAACTGTGTATATAAACTTGTAATTTTTCAAATAAATCTGTGACCTGTACTTAAAATACATGGAAAGTCATTAATGAACACAGATACATTCACTGCCCTGTCTGTCATGCATACTTTGTAGAAGAAACCAGCAAAGAACAGCTAACTGAATTCTCCATTTATAGGGGGAATTTGGAACAACGTGCTAGGCAGGTCTAAGGACGAAGCCTCATCCAATGAAGGAAGGTCATTAAGCTGATTAATTCTTCTGTACGTGAGAGCCTCAGGAATGTCCCCTGCCTCAAAAGCTGCTGTGCAGGCGCCCTCCATAAAACAGGCACCGTCCCGGCTGCGCTGCCCGCAGCTCCCAAAGCCGCAGAGCGGCGCGCGCCGCCGGGCCGGCAAAGCCACCGTGCGGAGGAGAGGATCCCCAGGGGCCTCAACACGACTGCTGCCTCCTCCTGCTCCCTGCAGAGCCCCCGGGAACCTTCCTGTGCCCTTGGAGCAGCAGCTCAGCTAGGCAGCGTGCTGAGAAATTTCACCTTAAAAGTAAAATTATGGGGATTAAGTTTCTGAATTGTTTTGGAACCAGGAGTAACAGTGTTGATCTTGAATTTAATCTGTCATAGAACAAAGCTTTCCACAGAGTCCACAGAGATAAAAATATCAATCTGAGATTGAACTGAGGGAATATGGTAAAAGCTTATCTCTAACTATGGATACTTCTATAATTTGGGCAGCAAGAAAGTATGAGGTTGAAGGTTGTACATCAGTCTGCAATGAAAGGAATGTCTAACTGTCTGGGCCAACTTTAAGGCTTTCAGCATAAAAACAAATGTTTCTGAATTCACCATTTCTGAGCATGAAAGTACAGAGTTTAAGGTGCTCTTTATTTTAACTACATCAAGCTATCTATCTCACTAATCTTGCAAAGCAAAATGTTTCCACAGTTCCATAATTTCCAAAGGTTCCATATATCTCTTTTCCTGTTAATTTCAATTTAAGTCAAGAAGAAAGATGAAAATTGAGCCCCAGGGGTTTTCCAAACAATTACAGAATTTATCCTTCACTGTCTCTATACAAATCCTGTTCATATAATATGCCCCAAAGGAAAAGTCTACATGCTCAGCATGCCTCAAAATAGTTTAAAATTTTGCAGATGGGAACCTTAAAAGTCACCTATTCGAGCCACCATCCATACCTATAAGTAGCTCCATTTCTGTCATTTCTGCTAATTCCATATCCATAAACAAATTATTCCAGAGCATCACTTTCTTTAGAAGAAGAAATTCTGTCCTGTGACACTATCTGCCTTCCTCTCTTGCTGCATCTTACACCAGAACAAGACTGCAGGTTACGGGTAACAGAAAACAATTGTCATACAGCAGAGTTTTCCCTTAAGGGAAAAGGGAACCGTCAACTTTCTCTTCTTTCAGCCACAAAACCTTCGTTCTTCCCATCTGTTGTCTACAACAGAGCACCATGAGTCACAACTTCAGTATCAGGGAAGGTTACCACACTCTGTTGCTTCCTCTGCAACCATCGTGACACAAGGGAAACTCTGACAGGTGTGGGGGACCCACACGGACTCCTCAGTCCTTTCCTAGAGAGTCACTGCCCTCCCCTTCGGGTTGTGCCGCCCCTTGCCAGGGCTAGGAACAGTGCTCAGCATCCTCCGAACTCCTTCCATCGCTTTGTAAGGACAATCTGGACCGAGCACAACACAGTCCACCTTGACTCAGCTCAGCCTGGAGAAGAGAAGGCTGAGAGGGGATCTGAGCAGTGTCTAGAAGTACCTCAAGGGAGGCAGTGAGGAGGATGGTGCTGGCCTCCTCTCACTGGTGGCCACCGACAGAACTAGAGGAAACGGCCACAAACTGAAGCATCAGAAGTTCCACAGGAATTTAAGGAAAAAATTCTTAACAGTGAGGGTGCCAGAGCACTGCAACAGGCTGCCCAGAGAGGTTGTGGAGTCTCCTTCTCTGGAGATCTTCAAACCCGCTTGGACGCAGCCCTGTGCCACATGCTCTAGGTGACCCTGCGTGTGCAGGAGGGTTGGACTAGATGATCCCTAGAGGTCCCTTCCAACCTTAACCATTCTGTGGTTCTATAATTCTATGACTTGCCAGGTTGGCCGGCTTCTTTTCCAAGGATCTGAGCTCCATATTTCTATAACTGACTTTGAATTTCTGCAACAGCAGCGGATTGGATGACTTACGTAAAACAAAAAGTAATGCAGACTTGTAAATTACACTGGAATAGACTGTATTTAGTAGACTTATTTCTTCAAATGAATTTTAATGGAAAATAAGGTCCAATGAATCAAAAGAGAAAGAAAAAAAAAAAAGGCACCGCTGTTTTACATGGGCTGTGGTTCATCCACTTAGACTCCGCACTAGCTGACAACTAGCCCATTTAAGATCCAAAGTCTTTCCAATTCTTATCCTGACAAACACAGACTATTCTCTTTTATTCACCCCTTATAAACTAGTTAGTTTCTGCCTTCTGTACAACTCATTCCTGACTCAGGCCATGGAAGGGTTTGCAGCTTAGGCAAGATAGTTTGTGCTTAGGTGTCCTACGCAGCCAGAGGGGTGACACGAGGACAGTCTGAACCCACAGCCCTGTTCTCCTGAGAACCTTCCAATTCACCTGAACTTTTCTCCCCACCTTTACACTGATTTCCTTCCCAGAAATGCTTTGCTGCCATGATGGTGTTTGCTACTTCCCTCTCCTACCTCAACTTTCTATTCTTGTACCATAGTTACAAAAACCTAATCCTTAAGCAATCTGACAAATTAAAAATACACCCGTATTTACTTATGCATTCCACAGTCACTTTCACAGGCTGCAATACATTTTTACAGCACCTCTGCAGAAAAAGGAGGTTTTTCAGCCGTCTCCTCTTCGCAGTAGAGAGGCCAAAGTAATTAGAAAGGGGAAAACCAACTGAAAGCTGTCTGTGCTGAAATTACCTCATTCAGAACATGTGCACCTTTTCATGGGCACTGACTAATAAACTGTATTAAATACCGTATTTTCCACTTCTTCTAAAACAAATGACCTTCAAAATAGAGAAGTCGCAGCAACCTAACTTACTAATGCTAATTATCAGCTATGGCAATTTGTGTTTGGCCTCTCAACTCGCACAAGAACAGCCGACAACATCCAAAGAACCACCTAGCCCGACAGCTGCCCCGAGCGCGTCCGGTCGCGGACGGGCACTGCTACGTCCCGCTGCTGTCACTTCAGTTCTGTAAGAAGCTGACCAAAATCACACGAGAGAGCTCCTGCTTGCACCTTAGTGCATCCATGCTTCAGCATGGCTTGATGAATACAGGACATAGAAGGAAACAAGCCCTTGTCCTGTTATTAATTCCCTTCCATCCCAATACTTCACAAACCTGTGAAAAACTTGAAACAGTCCACTATATACATGACTTCAAATTAGCCTCTACAATATCATCAGGGGCAAACAGCATAAGCTAGCAGGTTTAAAGTGAAAATTAGTCATCAATTATTTAATATATTCTGTGTAAATACTGACACAGACACATTATAGCAACAGTTTTATACAGTTGCACCAAAAAAAAAAAAAAAAAGAGGTGGGTGGAGGAAAAAAGAAAACCCCAAGAAACTAATTTCATTTTGGAAAGCAAAATTTATTAAGTATAAAAAAGGCACACCCAAGACAATGCTTTTGACAGAAGCATCTTAAATACCCCTATAGGCATAATTTTTACTCCAGAATTCAACACTACAGTCATTATTCATATTTCACATCAGCAAATTCCAGTCTGCTGCCACATATTAAATCTGTAATATTATAAAAAGCTAATTCATAAACTTACTAACATTCAGCAGCAACAACTCACCGTCAGCAATGCGGGAAGGCAGCAGCAATCCTCTCCGGCCAAGCTCCGCCAGCGCCAGGCACCCGCCGTGCCACGCGTTGTCCGTCTCCTGGAAGCTGATTTGGGAGGACAGACAAGTTTTGATAAGATTGGCCTTCCCTTTTCGGATTTCACTTGGCATGGAGAATTCCTAACATTTTGCAAGCCACAAAATCAAAATCAGCACATGTTAATCTTGCTGTTATTTCTGACAGATTTCTGAACTATAGGAATGACTGGTTGGGCATCTTTCTCATTTTGTGTAACGTTAATGTTGCTATAAAAATGAACAATTGAGAAATGTTCAAAACAAACGAACAAAAAGTTACAAATGTAGCCTCAATATAGATTAGGGCAATTCAAGATACTCAACCAGAAAAACAGAACAACCTTCTAGTACACTGGCATAAGATATAGAGCTACAGAACACTCCCAAAGAGCTACTGAATTTAATGCCATATTCACATCTCTAATTTAGCAGAGAATGTTCAAGCAATAGCTTGCAGTAAGAATATCATGTAGATTTGTGCACTGCAAATCAGTAGCGGTGTTTGCAGCCTTAAAAAAAAAAAAAAAAAAAAAAAAAAAAAAAAAAAAAAAAACAGCAAAAGACTGACTTGTAGTGAACACAAGAAATAATAACCAGAAACGATGCACATTTTTGGAGGACTGGCAAATGGAAAAGGGAAAAGCTTGTACATTCCTTGCCAAAACACGCCAAAAGTTCATTTTGTATGTAAAGAGCAGGGGGAATCTAAGAACAAAAGCTCAAACGGCCGAGCCAGGCCCCAGCAGGAGCGGCTCCCTCCCAGTCTCGGGGTCTGCCAGGCACCAGGGATGGTGCCGGCCGAGCCGGAGCGCCCAGGGTCGCTCCCCGGAGCCTCCTCCCGGCTCCGGCAACCAGCACTCGAGGGCCTTCCCAAGCCAGACGTAACAGGCACAAGGTCATGTTTAATAACCACCGACGGGACGCTCCTCCATTAACTCGTATAATCCCTTTTTGAACTCCCTTTACACTTCTGGCTTCCATAACATCCTGTGGCAACGACTTCCACAGTTTAATTACACTCGTGTGAAACGTCCTTCCCGACGCTTCCTGCTTCTCGCCTTTCACAGCAGGCAGGAAGCAGTCGCTCGCTTTCTCTTGCGTTCCTATTTCTTGTTTTCTCCATCTCCATTCTATCCACTCAAGTTTTTTCATTGTGACAGAAGAATTGTCACCAGTTTAATCGCTGCTCTCGCAGCAGTCACTCCACGTTATCATCATCCTGTCGCACCTCTGTGCTCTGACCAGTTTTAGTGCATCTTCTCCTCAATGACGGAGCTCAGCTGCTCACAGAGAGCATCCGAGAACAGCACATGAGCACCCTGAGCACTTTGGTTTTGTTCCTACCCACTTAACATAGGTTTATGTGACCTTCTCTTTACAGCTACCCGCCGTTTTCACTGTGTTAGCTAACTTAGGATGACCCGATTTCGTCACCCCGCTGTTCACCTTTTTTTCTGGATCATTTATGACCATCTTGAAGAGCACAGGGCTCCTTCAGATCTCCGTGAGACCATGCTCATAACCTCTCTGCGTGGCAAAAAACAGTAACTTATCCATTTCCTTCTGGTCTGTGATTTGATTAAAAATCATGAGTGACTGACTTATTTTCATTTTGTTCACTAGATACTTAGTGAAAAGAATAGAGAGCAGATTCCCTCTGTCCTTGCCTACATTTGTTCCCAAGTCTTTCTGAAGAAAGCAGGTCACTAAATTACCAGTTGCATTACTCATCCCCATGACTTGAAAAACAAGGGAAGAAAATGCAGCGAGTAGAGGCCTTTGAAGCTCCAGGGATAATTGAGATCAGCAGCACCTCTAAAATTAATCACAGGAGCACAGTGGAAATATCATGTCTAAGTGCATACTTTCCTGGCAAGTTTTTTAAGACTTTATAGCTTCATTTTTTTAATGTCTTGTTCTTTAAGTTGATAGTTTTAGTTTTTACTCTCAACCACATGAGAACATTTTTGAAATTATACATTTTAGTGGCAAAAGGAATACTGTTAATATTTTTTACAAATTAAGAAATTAAACCTTTGGTTAATAGCTCAATGAAAAAATCGGACAGTTCTTCACAAGCTAGGGATGGTTTAGATCTTAAAGCTCAAGTCCTTAACGAGGACCTGATGACTAACTTAATGTAAAATAAGCATATTATACTTGTTTAATAGTTTATTTCAGAAGCAGGACATGCAACAATAAATCATGCTGAAAGAACATCCCAACAGCTGTACCTGATCAGACCAAAGACTCACCCAGCCCAAAAACCTCCCTCTGACACAGGTCAGCAGTAGATGCCTATGGCACAGTGCAAGAACAAGCACACGGCAACACTCTCCACAACAAATCTCCAAATTTGTGGACAAATTCACAGAAAAAAAAATTTTGAACATGCATCTTAGCATTCAATGTCCTGTGGCAAGGACTTTTTGTAGTTTAAGCATGTGTTGTGTGAAAAAATACTCCTTTTGTTTGTTCTGTAGCAACAACCTCCTGCTTTAGGATATTTCTAATAACGCAATACCCAGAAGGCAGCAATCTCCACACCATTCCCAGCTTCACAAATTTCAGCTACACCCCTTGATTCGTGACTCTTCCACGCCGCCCTTCGCACCGTATTGCTCCTCAGCACCCTTCTGAAACCATTTCCAGTTCTACAATGCTTTTAAAGCTGAAGGTATCAGAACTGCACACAACATTCAAGACATAGCCATGGAAGGAGGTCTTAAAGCAACAAGCTGATGACTGCCTTTTTGTTTTTTTTTCTTTTTTTTCTTTTTTTTCTTTTTGCTAGAATCAACTTCACTCCTTCTGCATTATTTTAAAATGCCAAGGCATTAGGGACAGTTTCTTCACTGAACACTCCTAGCATACTCATGTCTTAGAAGATTTTGAAAACTGGCAAAAAAAATTCAAAATATTCTTTTCACAAATGTACCAAATTTCAGACCTGCCTTCCTAACTGCCACCCTCCTATTCTGGGAGCAAACACACTGAAGATGCACAGAAAATGTGAAGTAAGATTTTTACCTAAAGCAGTCCAACAGAGATCCAACCACATCATCTGCTAATTCTTTTGGAAGTCTTCCAGTTATTCTACCGATTCTATAAAAGGAGAGGGAAAAAAAAAGGGGGGGGGATTAATACTGTATTTGATAAGTCAAATAAAAATATTAGTTACTGGAATTTTACAATAAAATGACTTAATCCAAGATCACAATGCACTACTCTAGCACTGCCACCCTAAAACACCGATCCCAAGCTTGGAGCAAAAGCTAGAGTCACAAATTTAACATAGGGAAAAAAAAAAAAAAGTAGAAGAGAAACTGTTTCAGAGAAATGCTACTTGACCTCCTCAACCCAAGTTTTACCCACCACGTCTATCCCCAAACCTAACAGATTTTTTTTTACCCCACTTTCATATACACCCAGGAATAGTAGCAATCATGGCTCCATACCATCAACTGTGCTGGAGCTATTTGAAATAACTGTGAATACTGAGGAGAAACATAATTTATCAATCATGGGATACATCAGATTGTTATTCTAACTTATTTGCTTTAGTTTATTAGAGTAAGCACAAAAAACCTACCCTTTTGCTGCAGACCACCTGACAATAGTGTCTTTGTCTTTCAGTCCAACCAACAATTGCTCTGCAGATAATTTTATTCAAACAAAACAGATTATTCTCATTTCTATAGCAACAGAAAGATTTCTTAAAATGTTCAAGATTCGCTTCCCTCTTAATATAACTGCCTCCTAGTTTAAACAACACTTGTATTGAGATTTCCAACATTTGTACCACAAGTATGTTTTGACATCGAAGAAAAAAATATAATTCTAACAATTTTATGTCTCTAAGAGAGGCATCGGTTTGAAAATTTAAGTATTTGGCAGATTCAACATGGAGAATAGTGATTTTTTTCAGTGCTTTATTAGATAATTCAGTTATAAAAGTCTTCTGGGGTAATTTATATTTATTTACAGCATATCCACCGCCAAACTAGCAGGGAAACTGCCAACCCACTGCTTACTAGTAGAAAATGATGCCTTTGATACTACCACTAAAAATTTTCACTAGCTTAAAATTTTCAACAGTAATGCTTTAGCTTTCACGTAACAAAATGTATTTCATTTTTCATTACTAATTTCAACTCGTCTTTCTACATGTCAAATTCTCAAGTGATCTCTTTCTTATTATTGGACAAAATTAGTCAAATGTATTTCAGTAGCTCCATCCTCCCCCCGCCCAAATGCTGCGGAGCACTGCAGTTCTGACACGTGGAAACACTGACATCTCACAGAACAAGTAACTAGGACCCTAACCACTTACACACACTGCAGTGTCTTCCAAATTCCTCACGCTAGTTACTATTCTACAGCATAGCCACGATTTTCTGGATACTAAGAAAATAACTGTTTTCCAGTATATTTTTAGTTAATAAGCACAACAGTAATTTCTGTCTGGTTTTAACACACCTACAACATTTTCAATCTCTCCTGGAATATCATATTCCTCTTCATCATCAGCTTCAACAGCAGCAGCAGTTGTTATCTTCCGAGTCTGCACACCCGAACTCTGAGCTTGCAGATTGGCAGCCAGGGACCGAGCACCACGCTGGTATCTGCACAGAGAGAGGACACTGTTAGTTTAGCTTCTTGATTCGAGTGCATCTGAAATGGGCGCACACGGCCATGAAACATTCTGGACAGTCTCCGACGTACACCCTTCCTAATTTCCTTCCACACCTTCCTAAATTAGGAAGGTTACTTCCCAATTGTTGTGTAGGAAGGGGAAAGCATCCCCCATTTGCTTCCCTCCTGACCTCGTTGGCTCATTCCAGGAGAAAAAGGTGGCTCCCGTGCAAACCTATTTCATACATTTCATCATCTCCCTCCCCGTCCGGTTTCAATAACCTACTTTCCACCACTGGCAATAAAAGAAATACAGGCAAAAGTCTCACCTCCCCCTAAAAATCCGTCCAAAAATTGAAGAAAACAAAAAGAAAAAGCTTACTAAGAATGTTTAAATGTTAAAGCTGGCTCAGTCCTTTCTAAACATGCTGTATGCAGATATCCAGCCTGTGGTGCAGATGCATTCTTACAAAAGGTAGACTTTACATGCTAAACTGACTTTTGCCATTGGGCAAGGTACATTCTTCAACTAAAAAGAATTTGCTATGCCTAAGGACGTTCCCAAAAGTTGGAAACAGAAATACAGTAAAAAAAGTCACCAATGAAGCCTGCAATTTTAAAATATCAGTGCGAGAAATCTGAAAAAGAGTTTGCCCTCCAGCAATAAGTAAAACCAGACACCAGAACCTGACTAATATGCAAAACTAAAGTGGGATTGCAAACCACTTTTCCCCTGTGAACCTTCTATCGAATCAGGGCAGAACAATGTAATGGGAAAGTTATGCTCCCTCTTACAGAATTGAACGACATCAACTTCAGTAACAAAGGTCACCCTCTTCCCATCTTTACCAAGTTATACATTATATACCAACAGGCTTCTGCTTGCATAATGTGCAACACAAAATGTCAAGAGACTTGGCTTGTCACATCATTGGTTTACCATACCAAAATTAAAAGAAAATACAGGAAACTAAATACAGCAGAACAATGCTCCTTTTTCCCAAGGATTCAAATGAAGCTTGTCTTTATTCTCAAATAACATGTGGGGGTGAGAGGGAAGAAGGGAGGTTTTTTCTTCTTTTAAATGAGGATCAGGCAGTCAAAGGGATGGAGCTCGGGTGGTGGGGTTTTGGGCTTTGTTTTTGGTGGTGGTTGTTTGAGTTATTTCTGAGCCTAGGTTATTTTTTTTTCTTTACTTTTCTCTTCCAGGTTTTGCATCGGTTTCAGTTTTAAACTAACCTCCATTTGGCTACTTTTGGTTTCACAAAGGTCAGTCCAAGTCGTTGAACAAGTTTCATCCCTAGTTTGCGAAGAAGCATCTGATTGCTCTCCGACAGCCTGCAGTTATCGAGACACTCAAGTACAGTAGGAGCTGTAAAAGAAAATAAAGGGGCTATCACTGCTCATGTAATAGAACAAGGAGTCAGAAAAGCTAATTCAGCTACTCTGCAGCCACGCTCTACACTGAGCAAGTCTCCACCTTGCTCATTTTTAATTTTCAGGCAGCTCCAATCTAACACCTCTGCCCAGAAAATTTTAGGAGGCTGAATGTCCATGTACACAACATTTCTCACTCTAAATGTATGTGTAAGCCATCAGCAAGAAAACCTTTCCTCTGAATACATTAAAGATGACAAGGGTGTTTTAGAGCAAAGGAAAAAACACGGGACTAATGGAAAGGATGAGATTAATGAGTATAAAAGCACAGAATTCAGAATTTTCACCAGGAATACATTTGTAGTACATATAAAATAACCTGTTTCTCTTTGCAGCCTGAAGCAATTACTGACGATTTCAAAGAATGAGCCTCAGGCTGACGGGTAGTTTATACGGACGAGCAGCAGAGGCTCTGAAAGAGCCATCGCTCTCACTGCAAGCACTGCAAATATTGGATTATAATGGCAAAAAGTGACACAACGTCTCATTCAAGCATATCAGGGCTTACAAATATACTGCGAGATGAAGGATTTAACAGTCATCTTGAGACATTCAGAACTTATGTTATTTTTTCTATAAGGCAAAAGGTAGCTTTTAAAACAGTACCTTCTTTTGACTTTTTCTACTTTTTTCCCCCCATTTGAGCCTCACAACTATTACAAACTTGTAAAAATTAGTCATCTCTGATAGTTTTTGTCTCTCACATTTTCTCATTCCCACCAGTTTCCATTTTAATATTTGCTTCTAAGCGCTAAGGATTCTGTCTCTTCTGTAATAAACTCACTCACAATATGCCCACGACTTTGCTCATGTTACCAGATTTGTAACTAATATATTGCTTTTGTAGATACCACAGGCCAAGACATCTAATTTTACCCACAGGGTTAACGTCATTAGCCAAAATTTCTGCCTTTTATTTTTTTTTTCAAATCAATTATGACAATATTTTGTCACGGTTTCTCAGATTTGCTCGTGATCAGCCTGCACACACATCTGTCATTCTTTCCTCTTTCTCTTCACTATCTTATCTCCACCTCCATCCGCATCTCAGGCATTTGGAGAGGCAGCATTGCACCATCATCCCCAGGATCTGCGAGAACTGTACATTGCCCAACTCAAGATCAACAAAATTTCTTCTCTTAAATCAAAACAATTCCCTAGCCACCTCCTTCCATTGTTGTTTTTTTTCCCCCTCCTCATAAGTCAATCCATAATCATTTTAAAGTGAGTTTATGCCTTTGTTTGATTCTTATCAATGACACAAACCACATTTTTGGTGTTTTGGAAAAAAAATGGCAGAATGTTTTGTATTGTTTTGGTACTGACCATCATCTATCCCTACCTCACTTTGTGACCATCAAAAAGCTGTAAAAAGGAAATGGTTATTTTGCACTCCCAACCATATCCTAGGATTCATTATAAGATGAATATACTTCCACTGCACTATTCAGAAAATTGCATGTCCTCTTGCTGCTGCCAGTCCACCCCAGCTGTATCCATCATCATCTCTTTCCCATTCCAAGGATAAGATTGTATCATTCCAGCAGGGTCCTGGCTACACAGCAGGCTCTTGAATCTTCAGATTTCCGAAGTCCTGTGCTTCAGTTAAAACTTGAACTTTTTTGCAAGCATTTTGCAAACAGCAGTAGTATATATGGTCTATTATTTAAAATGTTTGTCACATTTTAAAGTTTTCGCTATGCACCTTCTGTCCCATGAGTTCTGTCATCTTTTTTCTTTCTTATTTCTCATGCTTTATAATTTTCCTATCAATTTCAATCTTTACACCAGCTCTCCTTATTAGTAAATCTTTCTCCTCCCATTTTTATTAGGATGGATTTAAAAACAATAATCAGAAAAATCACAGACTTACCATACGGTAAACAATCTTCTCTTTTGCCATGTTTAAATAACTGTGCCTGTGAACAGAACAGGGAAAAGAAATGTGAGACCATAAAAATTCTAAAGCAGAATATGCATCATGGATATAGTTACAAAATAGCTTTTTATGTTCTTGCAATAATACGTAACATTCACTAATTTATATAGCACTAAAAGAAGAAAGTGCTAGGGTGTAAGTACGACTTCTTTGTAAGCGGATACAAGTCGAGGCTACACAGCCAGCCCTTCCCTTCCCTCCATATCATGGCAGTCACCTCAGGAGCTGAGTTACCCCCCCAAACAAGCACTCAAAAGAAAATAAATAAATAAATAAATAAATAAAGAGCCCTCAGCCAGCTCAGCTCCCCGTGCCACCCAGCTCAGCGCTTGGTCACACAGGCTCCATGCAGGTGCAACCACAGCAGCGATGATCTCAACCAGTCCAGGCTGCTTTGAACCTCTAGAAAGAGAATCAGTGGAACTGGAATAAGGAGAGAGGAACAAGAGGGCTGCACCCTGCCTGGCCCCTCTCGCCGCCAGGACTCACACACGCACGAGCGACCTTGGTTATTGTGGGAACCAAGCTTGCAGCACAAGACTTGGTAAAGGCTGCCTGGCTCAGTATTTTACACTGTTCTTCTAACAGCTGTTGAAAATTCCACAGCAAACTGGACCAAGCTTGCCTGCTTGGGTTCTAGGAGCAGCAAAACAGGGATAAATTGAGCTCCAAAGGCCTGCGGGACGGCACTGCCCAGAGCCCAGGCCCACTGCAGCCCACACTGCTCAGCCAAGCTACCCCCTGCCCAGCCCGCTGCACACATCCCTCTATCAGTGAGGGACTTTGCAAGGTTCAATACCCCAAGTCTTTTTAAAGAGCTTCCATAATCCATTTTACAATTACAGTTAAAAATCCCAGGAAGATGAAGCAGTAAGACACACTATTAACACAACATAAACACGTTACCTAGTTGAAGTAGCCTCCTCCCTTCTCTTACTAGGCATCAAAACTACTGTGTTCAGCTACTTATTTTTCCTTTAACTTTGTATCATCAGAAGAAAATCTTTCCAGGAACCTTGCATAAGATTTAAATGAGAATTCAGACTTGCCTTTAAAAATATGTTCTTTCTCACAAATACCAACTACACAGATGCCTCCGATACTGCAGGTGTGGCTAAAAGCAACAAAGGCAATAAAAACACCTCTGGGCTATGCACCTATTTTATGTAGTTACTAAACTGCATTTTAGGATGCTAAATTAGTGCTTCTGGCTAGCAACACTAAAAGCTGTATAGTCGAATTTGGGAACAGATACTGAATTGTTTAAGATTTTTTACACTTTCCATCAGTCACTACACAATTCTAGGGCAGATTTAAAATTTTTATATATATTTACAAAGCAGAAATGCTACAGAACTACTTCAGGCCTATAAAAACTGCGAGTATAAATAAGCACCAACACAAATAGTGCCAATATACCATAGCTTTTTCCAAGGTACCACAGCAGTGTTTCCAAACCTCCCTGATGCAAAGGAAAACTGAAACTTGTACTAAAACAGCCCAACACGGAAGAACAAAAGTTTGCAAACGTTTGGCAGAATTGACAAATCTGAAGTGCCCCTCTATTTGTCTAGCCACGCTGCTGCAATGTGAGGCTCCCTTCCCTGGTGTGTCCTGCTGCGAGCTGCTGCCCGCCGGGGCCTGGCCGCGCTCCTCCTCGGCGAGAGCAAACGCTGTTCTTGGGGCACACACAGTCTGCCCCAGAACTGCTAGGATTACCTTCACAGTCAAACAAAACATGCGATAATTCCTCACACGGCGGAAGCACCTTTTCCACGCAGCTCCGGGAACGCTCCCACCTTGCGTGCGGCATTTGGGGTCCATCCCCCAGATATTTTCTCAATAGACTGTCTGGGAGCTCCTGAACGGGAGGAATGCAGGCCCCGAGCCCCCGAAGCGCTCAGGGTGTTGTAGTTCCTCTGCTCTGGCACCTTCCCACGTGTTTCTCCATTTGCCTCCAGTTTTCACATCCTCGAGGCCAACTTTGAATTTAGCCCTGACTCCTCGGGGAAAGAAAAACCAGGAGGTATCGTCTCCCGAGCAAGGCATGGGAAGACGTTAACCAACACACAAGCAGGAAATCAAACACAGAAAAAAGAAATAGCTAAATGTCTTCAGAAGACATTTCCCTTTTCTAAAGGGAAATAAGGCGGCACACTCCTCGCCCTCGAGCCAGTGCAGAGGAGTGAAGCTGGCCAACTCCATCTCATATGTTTCTCTGCATCATGTTTTCTGAGAAAAAAAAAAAGTGAAACACACTTTTAAAAAACACTGTTTCACTACACAACCCATCTTCAGATCTGCTTTTCAACAGAGAACCACCACTCACAAAAAAGGCATCAAGTATTTAATAATACACTTTCAGAGGATAAAAACACCATAACAGCTCTGTAAAACAGTTAATACTCAAAAAAAAAAAAAAAAATCTGAGTTACTTATTTTCTCAGAGAACAAAGCAGTCTGGAAAAGGTTGCTCCAAACTGTAAGCCTATACCTCCCTACATGCTTCAGTCATTCAGTAAGCAGACGTTAACCGCTTCCAAAAACCCTGACAACTTTTAGAAGACAGCTTTGAAGGTCTACATAAGACCAGCTCTACATTATGTAACTTGAGAGCTCAAAATAGAGATAATAAACTGAATTAAGAATAGACTTTATGTATCTATCTATACAAGCCTTTCTTCATATAAAAAACATTAAATATATGAAAGTTTCAAATATCTGAAAGCTGCAGCTACACAAGTCACAGGTATCCACTTCCTTTTTGGATGAGTTGAGTACCTGGCTCAGATGTCCTTCCTTACCCCTGGATTTAAGTGTTTTAGTCTTAAAAATGCAAGCTTTTAGAAGAAGTGCAAATCAACTGATGTATGCTATAGCAACCATGTTATAAATTAAAAGCTAAACTTAAAAGATTTGAAGCCAATATTTACGTGGCTTTGCTAAACAAAATATCTGCTACCTACTGATTTTGGAATGAACATAGCTGAAAATGAAGAACATCTAAAAGAAGATAACTTCTGTTCACAACCACTGAAGTACATGGCAGGTTAAATCCACCAGCTCATCAGTGTCTTGGTAAGTGATACATTAGGTATTTCTTTGTATTAGATAAAAGTTTAATAGCTACTATTACCAAAAATATATATTTATAGAAGTGAGCAGGTAATAACCAATCTGAAACCTACTCTTTAGATATTCATCAAAACAAAAAAATCCAGCTCTCATGAACTTTTCATTTTTTAATGTAGAAACGCCGAGCTTTCATGACTTGGCTGCAAGTCAAAGCAGCGTGCGGGAATGTTCACCATCCCTAACTTGCCAAGCTCATGGCGTACTGGATACAGTCTCCAGGAGAAATAAAAGGAGCCCTTTAGCTGACGTTGGCCTCTAGAAGCCAGTCACGTATGCTCTGCCAGCACGTGCTACGGGCGCTCACGCACGCAAGGTGAGGTTACTGTCTTGGGAAAAGCCTGCAATCCCACAGCACACAGAGGTCATTCTGAACGCGAAGGGCACATACGAACAACGCCACCAGGAATGAAGAGAAAACAAAAAAGACAGGAGGAGAAAAAACAAATCAGCACGAGACTCTTCAGTTTAAACTTCCTGCCTTGAAGGGAAGGAAACATCCGAGGAACACTTATTTCAGCAAAATCTGATACAAGCAAAATAGTTAATAAGCTTGGTTTGCCACCTGTAGAGACATTTTAGCATCAACAGCCAATAAGACTGAAAGTAAGGAGCCTGTCTGCTGGAGTCCCCGAGCACTCGGGTTGCGCCACGGTCTTCCCACTTTAATGAGGACACCGAGCACACAGCGACCTACCCAACCTGTTGAAAAGTATGCAACTCCCTCTCTTATAAATAATTAAGCCACCTACAAATTAGAGAAAATCAGCGGTGTGCAAGCAGTGACGACTGTCAAGTCTGGTTTTGCTTTAGAAATAGCATGGTGCAAGGAAAACAAACCCTAGTTTCTTAGTAATCACGGCAGAAACGCACCACACCTTCCAATTGTCTGCACAGCCCCGACCTTTATGAGCGGTATCAGCGAGGATCATCTCTGGGACACCCTCCCCAAGCTACACAAATCAGCACGGAGGGCGGCCGGGCGCGCTGGGAGCAGCTCTGTCTTCCTGCCGAGCCGGAGACGCAGGTCTGACCTTACCCTCCGGTCGTGAGCGAGCGAGGGGAGGCCGCGCCATGGGAAG